TGGTGTTGAGTCAAACCATCAACTTTACAGATCATCTCAAGTGTATTTCATCCCAACACCTTTAATTATACCCGTTTGTACCATCAAAATTTAATCCTGCAGCTTCACTACGCACAAAAAAATAAACTCAAAAAATGGAGTGACTCAGGTTTAGTACATGGCACAAAAATGAAATATAGATAGTAATACATGTAATATAACCTAGTGTTGAGGAACATGGATTGTATTTTTGGATCTTGGCCATATGTAAAATAGATTTGAAGAGGGGGGGTTAGGGGACAGGATAAAACGCAATGGTATGATAAACATTGTTTTTATATATGTTGTACCTTGACCAACACGACAAAATCTGAAATCGCAAAACCAATGGTTCAGCGAAATCACAATTCCCTATGCTCAATCTTCTATGATGAGTATGAGTCATGATGTAGTGATTTTGACCTTATATTGCATTATTTTGCAAGTTTCGTTTGACTTGCCCAGACTGTCAATGTTGCTGAACGCCGCACCTTCTTCTTCAGATGTTAGGTCATATACAGCACTCCCAAAATTACAATAGGGATAATAATTACAATGCACAATCATGATGATCCTGCATGTCATGTTCATTTTTGTGCTCCAAACAGCACCCAGATATATACAGATATGACAACTATGATATCAAACATTCTCAGACGATCTCATGACATGTAATATGGCCATATGGCCAGGATTTTTATAGGTGTCCTAAAAACCTGTGAAGAGGGATTCAAAAAGACCAATTTAGGACACCGCAATTGTTGATTTTTTTTTTGGTGGAAGGCTTTCGCACTACCTAAACAATCCCTCAAAGTACCTGATAATATGAACAAGAGTTAAAACATTGTTCAGAAATAAAAGCCACATGTCCCTACATGAGGGTACTGGGTTTTGGCATTTTCTAGTTGGCCCCAAGCGTAAATTGAAGGATCATATTTGCCAACATGGTTCAAACATATAAAATCCACATCTCCCTACATGAGAGTACTGGGTTTGGATATTTCTAGTTGGCCCCAAACTTAAATGATAATAATATTTGCTGCCAACCCCAATCCATTTTTCATCCCACCCAGGAGTCATCATAATCAGCTCGAATGATTGGTTCTCATCACGTCAAAATATAAAATGGCCAGAGTTGTTTTTTTATGTTTTTTATAGGTGTCCTAAAATTCTGTGAAAAGGGGTTCAAAAAGACCAATTTAGGACCTAATGTTTGACTCATTTTTTGGTGGATGGTTTTAGCACTACCTAAGCAACCACTGAAACACTTAAAATAAATACCCGTTATAATATATAATATGGCCCCGTGCCCTTTGTGATCTTTATGGTGATTGACGGATGCAAGACTAACAAATGATATAATATAACAACACTTTTGACTCAATGAGTCATTTTGTTCAAGATGAATTCCAAAGCGCACATGTTGAAAACAATCCTTATTATGAAAATCAAGGTTACGTGTAAAAAATTGGATTCCAGACTCCAGACCTAATTTACGTAAATATTCGGTTGTTTAGAAAATCTGGCCAACATGTAAATAAATTTACATAAATCTAGCCCATTTTCGATACTCTGGGTTTGACGGTTTCCCAGTTTCACTGCGCAGTTGCATGTGTTGTCAGAAAAACACACAGTTTGGCATTCAAGTCGAAAGTACACATGCGGCTCACTGAGCCGCCTATCAAACTGCAACCTTCATTTTTTAAAAAAAATGTTTACCCAGCCTTCTGCATTCTCTTACGCCCATTGGGCCTCAAGGTGAAAAGGTATGGGTATGTTTCAAGATATGGGGATGTTTCAAGACGCAATTTTAAAGATGAAAAAGGGAACCAAACATGGCATTGTGGGAGCCAAAAAGGACACATTATTTTGATACATACCCATATGTGACATATAATCAAATCAGAAACTTGGCTGAAAATAACATGAAATGTAATTTCAAACACGTCTTGGATGTTTACTTAGGCAATTATTATATTATTGGTATGATGTGCCAAACACTGAGCCCCCCTTCCATCTCAGAGACTGGAAAACCTAAGGCCATACAACTGGCGATCTCAGATCTTTTTTGAGAGATGTAGAGATGTGTATGCATATGTATGCATGTGTATGCATGTGTATGCATGTGTACGCATGTGTATGCATGTGTAGGCATGTGTAGGGATGTGTAGCCATGTGTAGGCATGTGTAGCCATGTGTAGCCATGTGTAGCCATGTGTAGCCATGTGTAGCCAAGTGTAAAACCAAACAAACTAAGCTTTTACACATGTAAAACAGTTAAAAAAAACAGTTTTACATATGTAAAACAAAACCAAAACTGGAGTTACACATCTGTAGACATGTGTAGATATATTCTTTAAAAACATGTTTCAGATTCGATTCAGGCATTGAATCTTCAAGTAGTTCGTTCTAGTTTGTCGGAATATATAAATACCCTGAGTCTCGAAAATTAGAAATTTACTTAGGCAAGAATTTACGTATTTTTTGGGGTTACTCTTGGCTCAATAAAAAAAAATGCCAATTCAATTTACATTTACTAGTAAATGCATTTTAAAAAATTATAACCTAAATTCTATTCACGTAAAACCTTCAACCAAAAAAGAACTTCTTTAAAAAAAAAGAAACATATGTTGTTGTTTTCCACCATGAACATGTGGTGATTGTAAAATGAGCACATGAGAATGTTGATTGTTCAGATCAATATGATTCAATATGTATGTGCAAAAACATGTGCAAGTCATTTATGTCATGCACACTTGCGAGATGTTTTTCCATGCGCTTGTGTGCATGCACTGAGCATGCTTTGGATCGATCACCCTTGCATTTTCACTTGTCTGCGCGCCTGCAATGCACATGTGTTGTAAACTTGTGCCTATTCACCTCTGTGTTTCACTTACTTGTGTGGTTGCAATTTACCTGAGTGGTGTATACTTGTGTCAGCTCACCTCTGCGTAATTTGTGGTTTTCATATTCGGGTGATTTGTGTTTGTCGGCCAAGATGCCTATGGCGGCGCTAGCACAAACATGTTATGGGTCACCTGTGACTTATTTACATGTTGTTACCTGGGAGGTTTTATCTACTATATAAGACACCCACAAACATATTGTTGTTTGTGAGGTTCTGTAGCAAGAACTATGTTCACTATCACCAGCGCTGCAACTTCAATCCTATTGTGGGTTTAGTTCTGAAACCTTTTTGAAATTTGAATGCTATGCAATTTCAAAACCCAGAGGATAAGAAACAACCGAAGGTATAGCTGACACGTGTATAAGTGCAAAAATCCACTGTATGAATTTTCCCAAGTAAGTTCAAATAAATTGGCAGCCTATGAAGGGGATGAGTCAAGCCATCCACTATGCAGATCATCTCAAGTGTATTTCATCCAAACACTTTTAATTTTGATTTACTGTAGAACCTTTGTTTGGCCAAAAACGCCTTGAATGTTGAGATTTTGGGCCAGATTTGCATCCTTGATATAATGTAGTTATCTTTCTTCTTGCTTGAGATTAGATCCAAAGATTGGACTGTTTTAAACAGAGAATGATCAAAAATCAGCACATGTTTCATATGCAGTTTATATGTGTTTATTTGTTTATGCAGTTAAAAAATTACATGTAGTTTCATCAAAACTGCATAATATTGCATATAAATAAAGTACATGTAGTTTCGGAAACTGTATAAAAAAAGGCATACAAACTGCATACATTTTTTTTACCAAGATCCTCTCAGAAACATGCTGTTTCTGAAGCAATTTGGACGGGCATTTGGCAAAAAAAAACGTCACACACCTTTGGACAACCATAGAAAATATAGACACATATATTCAGGTAATTATTCATTTACTAGCCATGCCAGAAATATGTTGTTTCTCTCTCAAAACTTTCGAAACAGTTGGCTCTGGAAAAGGTCCAACCAATTTGCAAATTGGTTGGACCTTTTTTGGACCATGGTTCATCCATCAGAAAATTATGCGAGATAGCCTGAAACATTTTTGAGTGCCAACAACCATTTACAAACAGTGCGTCGTTTATAAATGTTTACAAAAAGTTTCATAAGAATTGAAAATGAGTCTCTTTGGTCACAAGTAAATGTATATGTACTGATCCAAGAACATGATCTACACATATGATCACATGTAGACCTCAAGTATGAGTCTCAAGTAAATTGCCAGCGGGTTTCAGATGGTTTCGAAAGTGCCAATTAGTGTGCAACAATCGTTTGTAGAAAGGGAAAACTCAAGGCAGATATTTGTTTGGTTCTCTCCAGCGACATTGACCCTTCACAGGTCACAGCTCAAGTTGATTAGCTGCAGCCACTGTTTGGCCGCAGTGGCTCCAAATCTCAAAATCATTCAAATGTCCTGTGAATATGTGCTTATCTAGACAAAGCTGCACTTGGTGAAAATGTGAAGGTGCCAGATATTGTTGCCACCATCCCGAAAAGATTCAATCCAGCTGCAAAAGTTTCAAAAAAAAACATAGATTTATCATTGATTTATGATTGATTTATTTGTTCCCTTTACCAAAAAGAAAAATGGAAACATAAAAAACATAATGTTTTCAGATGATTAGAAAAACTTAATTTGACTTAGAATACTTATAAGTTAGCTAAGTCCAACTTAGACTATTTAGGTTTATATTTCAAAAATTTATTATTATAAGTGTCTTAAGTTCAATTTGCAAGTTCTATATGTCCAGCAAGTTCCATAAGTTACTTGCAAGTACCATAAGTAAAAAGCAACCACCAAGTACGCATGACGCGCACATGGGTTTCCAAGAGATTGCCAATCGCAGAGATGCCCGCATAGTTGCGAAAGCAGTCACCTCCAATGCTCTATACTGATTTCGTTCTTAGCTGTCATGCTGACATTGTGGTTAGGTTTCTAGTCCTTGTGGTTGCTGTGTTTACTAAATTTTGCATTTTGTGGCGTTTTTCGTTTTGTGTTTGTCTCCTGTTTGTTGGTGTTGTTGCTGCTGGCAGCATGGTGGGTGTTGGAGCGGGTGTCTGGTGTTTGCGTTGTTGTTGTTGTTGTTGTTGTCGTTGTCGTTGTCGTTGTTGTTGTTGTTGTTGTTGCTGTTGCTGTTGCTGTTGCTGCGGTTGTGGTTCTTTTGCCGTCGTCGTCGTCGTCGTCGTTGTTGTTCAATTTCTTGCTTAGAGCCGCCCAAGCAATCACAGGAAACCAGAAAATCCTGAAGCCTGGCAGCAATGAAACTTTGAATGTTTGGCACACCACCAGAAAAGCCAAGAGCTTTCTGATTTCTTCCTGAGCACTCTTCATACAGAAACTTTGTGGCTGAGAAGTGGGCAGAAGCATTAGGAGCACCAGCGTTTGAACTTCACGAACATGTCCCTCATTTTCTCCTGCGGGCTCACAGCATCTCGCAAAAGCCTTTCTGGCCAAAGGGGATGCAGATTAATTACGCAGAATGTTTCCTCCCATGGCCACTGAATGCCACTCGTATTTTTCCCAGGAGCCCGCGCTGGTACCGCACACACGGGGCCGCACAAGCTGGAAGAAGCAGCGATTCCTTTGGGGAGACTCAGCAACGACGCAAAGATTTTCTGCCTGCTCTCCTTGCATCTCTTGGCGTGTCAACTGAGGTGGAGGCTCGGCTCTCACTTCTCATCTCCTGTCTTGAGCACTGCACCAGCACTTCCCGACTTGCTCAACGGATTGGCTTAAGGAAAATCTATGAAAATCTACAGTCCGAATTTTCAACCCCAAATGGGACAGCGAAGCGTGTCCTCTGGCCGCATGGGGAAGGCGGAGGGAAAACGAAAACAGCTGTCTCGAGCACTAAGCACCACTGGTCATGCGAGGCCAATACAAGACATGGTCTACCGAGTCTACCTCATCGAGAGATCACCCGTTTTGTGTGTGAGCTGTAATCCACTTCCAGGCTGTTCACCTACCCATGAACATGGGCAGGTTTTACTTCTCACACGACAGAGTTGGGGGGATCATTGACACTTTGCTCCTCAACGAGAGTCAGAGTCTTTTTGGCACGTGGAGCCAGTTTGGAAAGGCGCTGGACACGACTGCGCATCTCCAAAGCGCCATTGGTGCAAAAGTTGATGTGCATCCCAATGGTCTTCTGGGCATCGGCTCTACATGGAGCTTTGGGATGCGTCTTTGCAGATGGACATATCCACCAACTTCGCAAGAAGGCCGTGGCAGCGCTTGGATTGAAGATCGGTGGCTCAAACCCCATGCTGCGATTGTCATTGTCGCAACCAGCCACTGCCGATCCAGGTTTTTACCATTTGCGTCATTGTGTTTTTGATTTCAGACGAATCTGCGACAAAACACCTGATCTGCTGGTGCAATGGCGAACCTTCATGGCACACTTTACAGGTAGGAAGTTGACTGGGCCATTCTACAAGATAGTTGATCTTTTCAGCATGCTTGGTTGGTCCATTGGCATGCCACCTTTGTTCACTGACCATGATGGTTTTATCCACAACTTGCTCCAGCTCCCCAATGCCGCTCTTGAGTTGTTGCTGCATGATGCATGGCTACAGTATGTAGCACACCAGGTGACACACCGCCGAACCATGCATGACCTTGCTGGCCTGTGCAAGGAACTGACATTGCTGGATCGGAGTCACATGACTCCACAGGAATTGGGACGCACTATGGCTTTGCAATCAGGTGCTTTTATTTCCGATTGGAGCCATGCCAAGTTTGACCCAACCAAGACTTCGATTTGCTCTAGATGCCTGGTCCCAAACACATTGCCTCATTGGTTTCGATGCCCAATGTTTGATGCTGTCCGTGCACAGATGCAGGAAACATTTGACTGGCTCAATGAGCTCCCAGACTGTATGGTACACCATTTATTGGTGCCGAGATGTCGCTTTGAGCTGGACTTTAAAGCCTACCTCTTGCACATCGAGGACAACACTGGCTGCTTTCACTCTACGCCAGGAGAGGGGGTTCAAAACTTGTTTTCTGATGGTTCCTTTTTTTCTGATAATCCCAAATATGTTGGGGTAGGGGCTTGGTCTTTAGTCAATGCAACTACTGGCTGCATCATTGGCACTGGGCACCTACATGGACTGGTGCAATCGATCTCACGAGCTGAGCTCTGCGGTGCTTTGGCTGCGATCAAGTGGGCATCTCACTATCAAGTGGCAGTGCACCTTTGGAGCGACTCCAAGTATACAGTGGATGGCATCAAAGCCCTCTTGGATGGCCAATGGCATGTTCATGCTTCTTTGTGCGAAAACCATGACCTTTGGCGCCAACTTGCTGACCTTTTGATTGACTTGCCGGACGGCCTCTTTCAGGTTAGTTGGATTCCATCTCACTTGGATCTTACGTTGTGCACCACAACACTGGAGGAATGGATCGCAGTCTGGAACAATGTGGCAGATGAGCTTGCTGTGCGCACCAATGCATCACGCTCAGATGAATACCACCAACTGAAACATGGAGCACAACAACACTTTGCCTTGTGGGCTGAACGGATCAGAAGCATTCGCCAGTTCTATTTCCTTGTTGCTGATGTCAGGCTCCAAGATGCTGAGGTGATAGATCTGACGGTGAGTGAGTCATTTGACTGGCCCAATTTAGGTATCGTTTTGCCCATTTCAGATGCAATGCCAATTGATTGGCAGTCACAGTTCAAAGCGCAAGATGTACAGTTGAAGTTTCCTTTTGAATTCGTTTTGTCCATTTTTGAGCACTTGTTTCAGCTTGAGTTGCAAGCAGACATTTTCGTGCCAATTAGTTTTGTAGAGCTCACAGTTTGGTGTATACGAGAGTGTCATTTATCTTTTCCATTTTGGAATCCAAGTCGTATGCAATGGGATTTGAGACCATATGATGCCTTGTTGTTGCGTCCTACTTTGGCGTCCATGGTTCAAATTGTTCGGGTTGTGTTTACCAAGGGGTGTCGAATCCTTGGCTTGGAGCAATTTCTTCTGAAAGGCATTCGAAAGCCTGAGTCAGGATTGTTTTTGCCTGCGGATGGCATGGCAATTTGTACAACAGTTGCCACCCAGGGCAATCTAGCGAGTGGCTGCCTTTCAATCGCCGGTCAGCACAAGTTGCGCAAGGCATCTGACCTGGCTCGTCCCATCTGACCTTCGAACCTTGGCGGCAACTGCACTGCCTGCGGCCGTGCATTGCAGTCAACTGAAGTCGTCCGCGATACTTCTCACACGACAAAAATCCATGAAATCAATGAAACCAAGATCTATGCTTCCGATTTGCAAGTGAATTTAAATGTGTTTGCCGATCACGTCACCACAAATAAAGACAACCATGCGGAAATCATACCAAATCAACCACCAGCAACAGATGTTCCGACCATTTGCCGGGCTCAATCGTTTCGCCAAACTGAGATAGATATAGATGGGAATACTTCTTCTATAGACATGAAGTACCATAGAACCACACAGGCTAATAATTTTGGGATATGTCTTCAATCATGTCAACACCAGGATCAAAAACGCCTGACAATCAACTGGGGCTACCACCAAAATAATGATTGCATGTGATTACTAATTGTTGTATCAAAGAACTGGAAGTTTATTAATCCTGGATTGTCAGAATCAATTTCGATCCAGACCCCTTTGTAGCCCCCTAGAGATGTTGGGCAGCACCTCTTTGGTCACAACAGGATGCACCTCAGGGGCATCTTTGGCCCGACACTTGTGACGCTCACAACGATCCTGTCACGGGAGTCGCCAAATGCTGGCGCTGAGGTGTACTGGCGGGAGATGCTGACAGAGATGACTTTTGCCAACACAGCCCTAGCTTTTTGAGGCTTTTTGACCAAGAGATCCTGACTTATGATGGTTATGAATCAGTCATGAATTCTGCCCATCTAAGCTCTGAAACTAAGCTCTGCAACCAGGCTCCACCCCGTAACCCAGAGGCAACAGACTTGGCTCATTGGTGGTGAAGCGACACATCTGATTCTGCCCTTCCCCAGCTCAGAGTTGATCCCCGTTGATCCCTTGGTGCCCATTGTGTCCTTGCGCACCGGGGGAAACAGATCGAACATCCCACAGTTATCCCAGGTTCATCACAGTTTCCAGATTGGTTCAGCATTTTCTCCCAGGTTTTCCCGTTTTTTCTCCCAGATGTGTTCCTGTTTTACATCATTTTTTCCAGTTGTTTTCGCAGTTCCTTTCTCCCAATGTTTGATTATGTGTCCCTTTTTTCCCCAGCTGTCCCGTGTTTTCATCATTTGTCCCTCTCCATGAGATAGAAACATGGGAATTTGGAAATAACGTTTTTAGTGTGAAGTTGGAATATTCAAGGTGATTGAAAAGAGAGCAGTTGTGGCCTAATTATTAGTGTTTCTTGTTGCTGCTGTTGAAAACCTTTTGGTATACTGATTTGGAATTGGTGTTGGAATTGGCACTTAGATATGGAGTTGGTAACTTGTTTGGTGCCAAATTGATGCAAGAACATTGGTGTTCTTCCTTGGTGTCGACGTTTGACGACAAATAGCGGGATAACACCGGCATTTCAAATGGTGGTGGCTACACGACAAGATAATATCAATTGCATGCTACATGGCCAATTTGTTTGGCACATTCCCCTGAAAAACCATTGGTCATTATTGGTCACTATTATGAATATTGTGTGAATGGAGTCAGATCAGATTGTTTGATATGATATCCTTGGGAAAACATGAATCCAAACATTTGAAAAAGAAGAAGAAACACCACAACCACCACACACATGCAAAATACCTGGAAAAAAATGAAAAAAAGGTGTCTTTTCCAAAATTCATGGAACAAAAACAGCAAAAAAACGAAAATTCTTTGAAAAATCCATCAGAATTTCTCACTTTGGTGGACATGTTTTTCAGGTTGTTTCCCACCCGTTGCGTCACCCGTTGTGTTTCTTTTGCCGACGCCACGGCCTTGAATAGATTGCATCCATTAAAAAAAAAATGTTGATATTTCTGATGATTCAAATAATTCAGTGTATTTACAATGATAACTTGCTATGACAATTAGAAAATTAAAGAGATTTGTTAGATTTCATCACTTACCCCCACTTGAAATTCATTATTGTCATCATGTGTTCGTTGGATTTACTTGAAGTATTCCCTTCTTTCTTTATTTCCAACAAAGATGGACACAGGGTGCGGATGGGCGCGCCACATTTACCAGCTATTTTAAACTTTGAATCACCAAGGCACCGCGTTTTTGCCCATAGCCATTTATGAATCAAATTTATAAAAGTGTGTTTCCGCAAAATAGTCCTGAAATAACGAGTTAGGGAAATAATAACATTGAACGTGTTCTTTTCTTTCCTAGGTTCATTTCGATCAGGAAATAAGGTCTTATTTCCTTGGAACAATTAAGCCTGAATATCGCTTATTTATGCTTATTTCAACTTAATTCCGTGGAACTTATGGCTTGAAACCCCAGTCACAGAAACAAAGAAATAAGACGATTTTCGTATTTCTGGAAATGTCCAAAGATACGGCAGCAGAACAGAAGCGCGTTGGATTTTCTGCAAATCCTTCCTCTTCGTCACCAATGGGACGTGCCCTGAAGGCGTCTGTAAACGATAGTTCCAATCGCAGAAGCATGCCCAGGCCTTCACGTTGTTCTTTGACTGAAGTTCCGCACAAAGTGGCACAACACTTCGAACCTTGTGATCAGAAGGCCCACATGCAAAACAAGGATTCATGGTGAGCAGTGGCGAGAGATTGAAAACGTGCTGCGATGTCAGAAAGGTAAGGACACCTCCAAGACTTGCCACTGCCTTTGGTTTGATTAAGATCAAGAGGATAGAACTGCATGCACAGCATCAAGCAAAGTGCTTTTAGATGTTGATGTATCTGTATATGTATGTGGTATGAATGAATATGAATCATTATAAATCGTCAAGAATAAGCTGCTGTCCGGCACATCTGCACATCTTGGATACCCCGCGAACGTATCAAAGGCCATCATTGTGCGCACATGGTGTGCAACGGGAATTCCCGAAACTGTAGTAGTGAAATGTTCAATCGAGGAATGTTGGAGTGGATGCTATGTTCAATCCTTGGAGGTCCCTTCTTTCACCGACCCAATCCAAATTGCTTCTTGAAAGTAGTGAACAACGACAAATTTCCAACTTCCAACACACTCAGAAAGATCCATAGTTTCTCACGAAAAATGAAAAGTTGATGGTCAGTACAAGTGGTCATATTCAACATCCATGGGTGATAATTTGATGCGCGCTTCACTCTATGTGATGTCCCTTTGAACCTGAAACCAGTGACATCGATCACGCATTGCCCATACAGTATCCTCTAACTCTAAGGCAAAATCATCCCACATGAATCTCAACCGCGGCACACCCAACGCAAACAAGACCTGATATCTTGCCGATCATGGAGTCGTGGGAGCTGTATTACTACCTGAGGAATATTCACCTATCCATACTTGGGGGAGCTTCTACTTCTTGCACTGGAAAAAATCTTACCAATGTTGCCACGGGGATGATCCATGAAGCTATCATCTAAGATCTATGGTTTGGACCTAGAGGTCATGTCACGATCTTTTGCCCACGACGTCATCCCATTGAAAGATAGCCATGATGTGGAATCAACCAATTAAGCATAACAAATCCACTACGGACGGAAATGAGAGGTGTGAGGCTATAAAACTAATGGCTGCACAGCAGAGATTCCAGCCACTTGCTAACCTCAGTCCTGATTGCAAATTGAAATAGAGAGAAACCCCATTAGACCATCTAAAGCCGTCCAACTTTGGGGAGACCCAATTTTGATCCCTACCCTGTGGACAAAAATGGCGTCTGGCGGCACATCTTTGATCATATCACATGATGCACTCCAAAGGCACCTTTGGCCCGAAATTGAAATATGTTCAAATCACAATAGCGAACCTGCAAAAACGGGAGCCGAAGCAGGTGACTGGAGATGTGTTCCCAAAAAAAACATGATGTCAGACACATATAGACACATGCAGATATGTCCAGTATTTCTTGCACCAAGACAACCTGCAAAGGTGCTCGTTGTACAGGTATATGGATAGTGTTTTGCACTGGGGAGATCTTGCTGACAAGGACAAATGATTAGAGGTGCCCAGCATGTTGTGATAAGCTCAACAGTCACGGTCACAGCTTTGGTGTTTGCAGTGTTCATCAAGCGTCCCATGTTTTCCAATGAACAATGCGACAAAGCTCCTTATGGGCCAGTAGGCGCTGCTCGGTAGCCCCATAGCCATGCTTCTCATTCCCCGAACCTTTTTGATGATGGCTTCACTGTTTCACTTGTTCAATTTATCTTCATTCCCAACAAAAACTGACAGACACCAAAGAACTATTCCCGGTGCCAGGCCTTACGTTTCATGCCTTGGGCGGATCGAAGGTGCAAACAACATCTGGGGCTCAAGAAGAAACATCTTAGCGAACAAATGCCTACTCGTGTACGTGCCCATCGGTGACCTTTTGGCCGCCATATATTGCTGAAGATAGTCAAACGCCAAAAACAACATACCTGTTCTGTCCGTGCTTAATCTGATAATCTGATTTGTTCTTGAAGGCGATAGAAATTGAATGGGTGGCACGGCGTTTCAACCAAAAGAATTCCATGTTGGGCGACAAATCAATTCTGCAGATTCAATCAAATTCGTGGTTCACCTGTGCTCAATTGTTGGCCGGTGGCTTGTGATGATAATTTGGCAATGGGTTTAGGCTTCGTTATTCATGTATCCAAAATCGGATGCGTAAACGTCCCTGGTAGGGACTCACACTATCCCTACGCCTTTCATGTTTTCATCCCCACCGGTGCCAGCAGTTTCACGATGTTTCATCCATGGACACTCCCACCTACTATGCCATTGGGCCACTGCATTCGGCCTCACCCGTGCAGCCAAGAGGCTTTGCCCATCAGCAGGTTCACCACTTCCGTCTTGCCCTCCTGTCTCGCGAGATCCAAGGGTGTTTCGCCTGGGAACCACTGCTGACATTCGAACTGACCCTTTCCAATATAATATAACTTCAATTGATCGCCATACGGGCTGCAGAATTTGACAAGTGGGGATTAAAATGTGCGGAAACCTCTGTTTCATTCTTCACATTGGCTCACGTGGATGTCAAAGACATGGACGAACTCTAAACCCTAATGCTTTAACATGTTTCAAACAAGAAGTGTGCTACGTTGATCGTGACAGAGACACGCCCCAAAAACACGGCTCTTGAATTTCAAGGGAACTTTGAAGACGGGAACCTGAGATGAGAAATCCAGGGAAATCCCATGCCCGCCATGCCCATCGAAGTTGAAAGAATTTGAAATTTCAAATTATAATTCATCAAAACATGCCACATTGAACTGCAACTATTTGTTGTGATTGCCGGTGAAAAACTGTTTTCAAAACGGTTGTGACATCGGCTGAGGCCCCCAGCCGTTGTCGTTCTTGACGTCCACCGAGGCCTTCGCCGCCAACAGCAGCTTGGCGCTCTCCAAGCGGCCGTTGAGTGCTGCATGATGCAGCGGAGTCCAACCTCAGCACTGCAGGCGTCGGAGGCACCACCTGCTGCGGCTCCCCGCGGCTTCTGAGCTCCCGGGCCGCGCCGGTCGTCCCGGACGTCCACGGCCGCGCCCTCCGCCAGGAGAAAGGCGACGACCGCCGTGCGGTCGTAGGCTGCTGCCGCGTGCAGCGCGGCCCGGCGGCCGCCTCCCCCGAACTCGAAGAGTCGGCCGAGGCAGCGCCGGTCGCGGCGCAGGTGGCCCCGCACCGCCGCCAGGTCGCCGCGCAGCGCCGCCACGGCGATGTTGTCGTCTCGGCGCAGGGAGAAATGCAGCAGAAACGAAGTTCCTCAGTTCCTGAGATCTTTATGTTTTATCTTCTCTAAGTCCAAGTCTGCTACTTATGGAAATTATATTGAATAAGTTAGAAACTGAACTTATTGAACTTTTTAAGTTCCTGATGTTCATGTTATGGAACTTGAAGTGCAACTTCAAATTACTTCTATAACCTTCTAGATCTTCTACCTGAGGTAGCATCAAGTTCTATCTTTAGTCAGTAAGGACTGAGGCCCAGACATTTCGCCGCTGCCGCTTCGTCGGCTTCGACTTGTTCTGGATCTTCCAAATCTTCCGGATCTTCCTGTTGTCACAGCTCCCGAAATTGTGTGCACACTGTGGATGTTGCCATGAAAAACTTCAGGGAGCTCGATAACAACTCATGTCTCCACTACCAAGACGTGAGGCGAAGAAATTGAAAATATCGTCGGCCATTTGCCATGCATGACGTTGATATATGTTCATGACTGTTGACACTGTGGCAAACCCAAGACCATAAACCCACCATTTGAGGATGGATTCTACCACCCATTCAGGGTTTTGCTATTGGGTTGAACGCATTGCAATCCACTGAGCCAACATCACCAGCCCGTCTTCAACGACAACATTATTCTGGAAACGCTAGGGCTACACAGCGCGTGGAGATCCATCAGACAGCAACGAAAATGTGACGATGAAAGGATGGGAGTTGACATTTGACAGTTGAGATTCTGCGAGATGTTGCATTTACTAAGTATATTAGTATATTTGACTATAGCAAAATCAAAGTTAAGGATTTAGACCGTGGAAAACGGAGATTCTGCCATCAAAAGTTGGATTATTACCACTACGGTTGTTGCAGCCTTGTTTACCATCCAAAATCCAGGTTGAACATCGAACACGAGAGAAACCACACATGAAGTGGTGATAAGACATGATAAAACCCATGGAAACAACCAAGCCTAGGCGATTAACCAAGAATAATCGGATACTCGGACAGATTCGACGGTAAACCTTTGGTGAATGCTTAGTTGCATACCCTCTGGGAATCATTCCCTGGGATTCTAAACTGGCTGGCTGGGAAGTTCCAATGTTTCAAGGGAAAATGTTGGAAACTCATCTGAAAATGAATGACACTCACCCCACCAAATTTTCTGGGACCAGATAATCAACAAATACACCAGATTCGTCGGGGGGGTGTTTGATTCATGCGCATGTCTTCCTAACTACGTGCTGGGATGATTCCCTGAAGCTCGGAGAAAAATGGTTAGTAAGTGGTTGAGAAGCCACGATCACATTTTATACAGGGGGAATAACTGCAATTATATATTTGATTCATATGTGTATATATATATATCGATGTATTCTATGTCACTATGATGTTTTGCAAAAAGGGATCGGCAGGGTCCGCGTTCATGCAAATACATCAGAGCGGATCATGGCCCATGGCCAAAACAACACTGGCAGCTGCCTTTGCATCAGCTTCTGCTGGGGTTGTTGCCTAGGCTGTCAGTTGGAGGGCCAAATTCATCAATGATATCACTTCATCAGCATGCATCAGTTAGCATCATATTATTCTCATTGGTCGCAACCCATCAGCGATAACACCAGCAATCCTTTTGACTCGAACTTGCTTGTGCGAAGAAACTCTGCCTGTCTTAGTCCCTACAAGTACCTACATAACATATCAAAACATTCAAAAACTATTTGCAAAACCCAGAACATCTACCTGGGAACACTATCTGCAATGACCCCGTTCATTCCTCTCTATTCCTTCCCCACATGGCAGGTTCATAAGCAACAGTGCGGGAAAGTTGTCATGTCGGGTTGTCTAGTCGTGCAGGATTTGACAAAGGCCCTGCCTCGGCACGGGGGTCAAATCGGAGATGGTGAATCTGGTTTGCGATCTTGCTGTCAATGATCGTATCCCACACAGAGCTCTTGAGTACCTTGAGCTCCGTCTGTTCAGGCAGGTCCTGGCAAAATTCAGCGAGCTTTGGAGCACTGGGTGCATGCAAATGCACATCCCTGAATTTTGCAAAGATTGGTCCATATGTGAGTCCTGACATATGTGTGTAACAAACCTCATCCAACTAACATTTCTTTCTCTCTGCTTCTCTCAGCTCACTCCCACACCTGCCCCTGCTCTGGTTTGGTGTCCTCCAGCGCAAAATGTGTTGTCACTTGGAAGAAGAAAGATGTCATCAGCTGCAACATTAAGGTGGTTCGTTGAAGGAAGGTGTAATTCCAGCAGTTTAGACTCCTGGCACCCATGCATGACAAGCCCCTATTAGAATGTTTCTAAAACTTGGGTTGCTAACACCAAATTGCAAACGGCCCTTTGCCTTATCGTGCTTTGGTTCATCGGCACCATGTCCGCTTTCGCGAACTGTCACATGCGAAGGGCTTGGCATCACAAATGCCTACAAAAGCAGCAAACTCACAGGTCAGATAATTTGAAGTGTTTCTCCGTCGCTTGTTTGGGGATGTTTGGGGACTTAAACTTGAATTAGTTACTCCATAGCCCTTTGCGAGTAAAACCAGAGGTGGCCATGGTAGAAGGGCACCCAAAAAGGATAAAGCATGAAGGATCCTTACCAAGGACCTCATCCTCTAATGAATGATTTTGGCTTCCTCAGCTTCTGATCATTCGGCGCTTGTAAATTCTTCGAACCCCGCGAACATATTATTGCAAATCAGAAACTTGCTGGTCGAACAATACGGGAGCAATATCGTATCATACAATAGCATCGCTTGTCCGACGAGACACCTTCAGAGTTTCCACAGCTGCATTCGTTCGAATCTCCGCACGTCCAGATGCTTCTTGGAATTTGCTTTCCTTGAATTCCAGCTTGGCCAAAAATTCCAACCACCCACCAGGCACATGGCAGTTGACGACCATCACCATGAATTGAGCTCTGGAAATCCCGACATACAGCTTGGCCCGAGTCACCAAGTTCACTTTGGCGCCTTGACCCTCAATCGGTTCGTCGAGCCCAACACAAATGACCATTAAGGCCTCATGGCCTCTGCTGCTGTCAACTGTATCCAGAATTATCAATTCATCTTTTGTTTCAGATGAGTATGTAGGCAGGAAACTGAGGGATTCACTGAACGAAACCAACCGAAAGCTTCGATGTCTGAACGAATGGCACAGCTCTGCCTGCAAAGGCCCTTTGAGAGATTCCAAAAATCTGTCATCTGGGACCAGGATAGCAATACGACTGTTAAAACTGCACAGGTTGGGGTATGATTGAGCCGCATGTGAGAAGGCCTTCACGACGAATGCGGAGTATTCCTTCTTGTACCCACTAGCCGTAATTTCATCTGCACTCTGAAAAAGAAAACTTTTTAGAGGTGGGCCATCTGTGCCAAGACTTGTCGCTTGTTGCTCTTCACTCAAGATCTGAAATGCGGCTGCTCCTCTAACTATTCGTTTGGTGCTCCTTACAACCTCCGTCAAAGCTACACACTTGATGTTTGGGTAATTGATGTTCACATTCATATCAGAACACTGAGAAGTGTCTGAGAGCAAAAGTGTGCTTTCTGAGCTGACATGCTCTGAAATGTTCCTGCAGTGGCTAAAAACTTCATGATTTTCATCAAATACTGCCAAGAAGAACTTCTCATTCAATGACACTGGCTTGGTCGAAGTCTGCACGATCTGATTGCCTTGAGTGCTCAAGAAAACAAACTCTTCATAGGGCTTCTGAAGCATGATGACCCTTCGCATCAGGGTTTTCATTGCGTCACGGGTTGATTCCACTGTTTCTGCAGCTTGCCACCTGGCCAACCATCGTAGAAAATAAAGACCAAGGGAAATGCAAGGGGAAACATAGAGAACACGACCTTCAGGATTTGCTTGGAGCTTTTCCAGCACGTATTTCACAGCTAGAAATGTCTTACCCGCCCCAGCAGGGGCAGTTATTATTATGGGTTGAACGACTGGATGCCTCAAATACCCGAAGGTACCGGACACCGCAGCCAACGGGACATGATCAATTCATGTTTTCACGCACAGTGGCCCTGACCCGGGCCATGTGGTGAAGAACCGCTCTATCATATGCATCACACCCACGTGTGGGCCAAGCAAGACGATTTTGCAATTCATCTTCAGGGACCTCAGGGCGGCCGGAAGACAACTGTTCGGCGGAGCAATGCCAGGAGAGATGTTCCCAGACAGGTGGGATTTGCTCACCGCAAAAGGGACATTGTTCCCTCACTTCGTGTCCACGCATCTTATCATAACATGCCGTGGAATGCGCAGAACCAAGCATTACGGCCCTCTGATGACTATCACACGTGAGAGAGAACAACTTGCGGGCATCGGAAACACGACTTTCCTCATACGGCACATCAAGCAAATAATGCCTATCACGGCGGTTCTGCTTTTTCCAAAGGGCAAATTGCACTCGGCGCCAACTTTCTCTCACCTTGTGCTCGGTGAGTTTCACAACAGCTTCATCTGGATTGGATAAATCGACATGACCCAAATCCTCATGTGCAAACATCCATGGACCGCGAAATTCCCAGTTCAGCTCTCGCATGCGTGCGCAAATGAAACTCTGCCAGCCTCCAGGTCGTGGCATCCTTCGCCAAGGGGCACGAACTTGGCGCATGGTCCGAATGGAAGACATGGTGGCCCAAAACTCAGCATGATACATATGACCTACAAGCAGTTGAAAAGAGGTCTCGAAGCGTTACCTTGCAGATAGGAAATGGCATGCCATGCCTTTCGAAGCGAAGGCAACTGTGACTGCGGCAATCGTTCAAACCAAGCGCCCCAGGTGGCGAGTGAAATGATTCTGGACCTGTACAAAGACATCCTGATATCGCGGGCAACCGGCAATTTCTGCAAACGGTGAGCGGCAAACACTGCTTCTTGCAAACGGTTTTCAAGAACAGGGGAAACAATAAGGTCACTTTCCTTAAAGTCAATACCTAAGACCCGAGTGGCCGGTCGGAGATACTCACCAAACCCTGCGTCATTGATCTCTTGCTTTTGTTGCGCAGTGCAGGCAACTAAACGCATTTTTTGAACGTTTTCATGGAGACCCAAAGTGGCACTCCAGCTGCGCCATCTATGGATGCCAGCAATTAAACGTGGAACATTAGGCGCGCTCAAAGCGCGATCATCAACGTATGCAACCTGACGCAAGTCTGGAATGGAAGACACATCATGAAGGGGCCTAATGAGCAACATGATAAGAGCCAGAGGTGCAAAGGCATCACCTTGCGGCATGGAGGTCTGGACATGCTCCGGCGTTGGGTGCACAGCTTTCCCCAAGCACAGCCATCGCACTTGATGACCCCATACAAACATCAAAATGTTAGCCCACTCATCTGGCAACCCTTGCAGTTGCATGTTTTCAATGGCCAAACCTGGGTGGACAAAATCAAAACATTTGGAGAAATCTAAAGAAGCAAGAACTTCCTGGTTTTCAAACGCTTCATTGAGTTGCCTCCATGCCGTGGCAACCCCCCGGGATTTCAAGCCTCCATGGCACTGCTCGGGGACCCGAGACGCAATCCATTCCTGAACCTGTGGGGTCCTCACATAAGATGAGGAGACCAACCGAAGAAAAATGCTTTCAACTGCAATAGGCCGCAAAGACCCTACAGTCCCACTGTCATCCTTTCTTCAATGAACCTGACGAACCTGCAGCCATGCCTGTGGGAATTGTTTTAACTGAGACCAATGCAAAACCAAATCACGGTAGTGATCCCAAGCAACAAGCGGGAAATGGCAAACTTCGCTGCCGGACCACCCGTCACATCCGGCTGCAGACCCCGAGGCTCTGAGAGCGGCCTGATGGATGAGGGCAGCATCTGGCATCCAATCAGTTTGGGGTCCAGCCAGGGCTTCCATTGTTCTAAATTCCGGGGGTAAGTGTGGAACGAGGTCATCACGTTTCCAAATACGCTGCCAAAAAGAACGGATACAATCAAGGGTTTGCGTGATCGTGGCGCAAGAATCTTCGGAAACAGAGCGTGGTGTTGGAGGTTTGTGAGGCTTCATCCACCGGGTCACCTCTTTGCCCCCCTGGCGCATTCTGGTACGCCACTCGGTCAGCCTTTGGTTCTTGGACTTCCTGTTTTCAAGCGCAATGCGTTGTTCAAACACTTCAATAGCGTGGTTCCAAGACCCCCAAAGCTCATTGTATTCAGACGGCCAAGTCGACCATAATTTTTGCAAAAGCTTTTTGTCTCCCTGGGACTTGGCTAACTGTCGCTTCACTTCATAGAGACGACCAAGCACATTAACAAGTTTTCTGGCAGGGAACGTATTCACCTGGGGGCGCTCAGCCTTGATCACACGAGGCAAATTCCCGCGCGCATGGCCTGGCCTAGGCACGGGCTGGCCACACAAGTGCAATGCTTCACGCATGCTCTTTTCAGCAAACTGGTGAAAATATGCCCAATCTTGGTCGGGATCCTGAGAAAAACATGGCACGTAAGCGGCCCATTGTTCTGCAAGCACGGCCCGCCATTGCTCAACAGGCACTTCCGGAGGACATTCATAGTTAGGCCGCCAAGCGAACCTCCACGTATCAGTCTGGAAAATGGGCAAGCGCAATCTAAGCCAAAACATCTTGTGATCAGAAATCTTACATTCACTGTAACGCGGGCAATCAGCAAAACCGTACCCGCCGCTGAGAATTCCGTAATCAAGACATCTTTTACCTTCGAACCGGCTAGGCACCCATTGATCAGGATCCGTGACAGCCAGAACACTGCCATTCAAGAAAATGGATGCGGCGTTGTCATCAGGAGTTTCGTTCCAATCACCTACCCAAAGTGCAGGTATCTGCCTGCGTTGTGCTTCTTCAGTGACCGTAGCAACATATTCCAAAAATTGCAAACCATCAAGTTGGCTTGGCCGGCGCCAAACTGAGGAAAGTAGGCACGATTGAAGATCCAAAGTCATGACATACCCTTCATCGCAAGCCAGTGTGTCCCAGATGCCTCCTCTGAGATGCTCTCGCAATGCAACCAAAAGACCACCTCGGTAAAATTCACGTTTAAGTGTGCGAATAGGTTTGGCCGGAATGGTCCAACACTTGTACCCAAGTTTCTGAAGCCTTTCAACATACTGGGAGCCTTGACGAGGCTCGAAGTCAGGCTCTTGAAGACATAAAACAGAAGGCAAATTACCCTCATCCTGAAGCAAGTTTAGGCCCCTCCAAGCATTGCACGATCCACGGCAATTCCACGAGAGAATCCAGTGGTCAGGGTGGCCTGGGCCTGGATGGGGGTGTATATTCTCAGCAGTCAAATCGCGTTTCCATGACTTAGGCGGCCACTTCTTGCGCGACTTTTTCTTGGCGCTAGCCCAAGCATCATCAAGCTTCCTACGCTCAGTAGCACTCAAACGCCAAGCCTTGTGCAGCGCCTCTTGGCGCTCTTTGGGAGCCTGACGCCAGCATTTTTGGCGACCAGGCATGGCTAACCACTCGGCACGAGCAGTCCGCCCGCCACAAGGACCTGCAGCTCTCACGGACTTCTCAGTTTTCCAGTAACCAGCACAAATGGAACAAGCATGCTGAGCCATGAAGAAAATAACTTTTTTCGACCCACCAGCCAATTTTTTCGTTCCAGTAGTACGTCTCTGCACTTGGGATAGGGAGTGTCCTTGCTCCTTGGCAAACTTGTTGAGTTGCACATACATCTGGCGATGCTTCAGCTTCCAAGGCAAAATGCTTCTGTGAGGTACATCAGGTGACACGCTTGCTCTCTTGCAAAGGCGAAGAATGGAGTCGCCTCTGGTGGCCCCTTTTGGGGCCTTGGCGCAGGAGCGCAAATGAGCAACGATTGATGCTTTCTGATGTGTCTTAGGCAAAATGGGGAGGGTGCCCATGCAAAAACCACAAGTCCAAGAAACAGCAGCATGAGTGGGCCCATACGATACGGCAGTAACCGGAGCCCTGTACTGATCAACAGCCTTTTTAAAATTGGTGGTTGGGGTACCACGATGCGTACGCCTAATGTGATCCGTACGTCTTTTTGAAACGATGCATGCTTTGTCAGTGAAAGAGACATTGCAAATGTGACATGTCCACGTGATTTCCCGGTCGCGCCCAGTGGCAACAGACGCAGAAGCTGATGCGGCAGATGGGTTGGAACCACATGGCTCGGCTTCTGATTGCTCGGTCTTTTGACGGCTCGGTTTGGCCGTTGATGCAAAATCAGTCAGACATGCACTCCGTTTGGCAGGGGTGCTTTGGGCAAAATCGGTCAACCTTGGGCTTGGCCTGCTGGATTTGGGAGTTGCAAATTGTGAAAGGCAAATAGAGGCATTGTCGGCAGCCAAGCGTGCCTTCTTTGCGGCCCCGCGGTAACCCTTGGTGCCACCGTCTTCAGCATTCTGCCACAGGGCCTGAATATCTGCGTCTGAAGGAACAATAAGCTCATAATGTTCATCCTTGTACCAGAGACAGACAACATCCTTATCGCCATGACTATTAAAAGCATGGACAACATTGTCCTTGGCATGCACAACAAGTACAGGTCGGCGCATGGCTTCGCCATATGCTTCGATTTCACAATATCCCGCCCAAGCTTTATCTTTTTCAAGGGCTTGTAAATAATCGTCAAACCCACCCTCCATGGGAATGTTGCTCGGGCTTAAACCGTCCCAGAAATCCTCGTATTTCTTGAAGTGTTTGGTCATGTAGGCAACAACAAATGCACGCACCTGCCTGTGGCTGCGGGACTTACCTGGGGTAGACTCCGCCTGAGCTAGACAGTAAAACAAGCAATTCCCTTCCCCAGGGTTCGGAACTTTTTGAAGCCACTCGGGCACTTTCATCCTCTTTTTGTCATGACCAGTTTTTTGCGGGCTGGTCAACATGGCCTGGTCTTTGCGTTTGGTGCCCTGGACATGCATGGGCTCATCCTCAACATCACTTGCATCTGGGACGCTAATCAGACTGACATCCATAGCTTCGTTACCGCGATCATCCTTGGAGGGAAATGGAGGTGGACTACTTTTCGGTAAGGCAAGCGTGGTTGCAAAGTCAGGCACTTCAAGCTTGGATTTGTGCTTGCCTTTTCCTTTGCCTTTACCCTTACCTTTTTTGTGAAATGCATCTAGTCAAAAGAGCACATCATTTTCTGCTTTCAACGGCTGGACATTTCCTGGCGCACGTCGTTTGGACTGCTTAACTAAAAACAGATCTAATGGTGGCTCATTGCACGTCTCGTCCGCATCATAATGGATTTGCATTTGATCACGGTCATCATTTCTCATGCCTTTGAAAACCCAAGCAGTGCCACCACGACGGCGTTGCTTTGCTAAAATATCAATTTCAGAGAAACCTGCTTCAACCAGAGTTTCTTCCACATTTTCAAAATCCCAACCAAACGGCACTGTCTCAACCCGCCAAACACTAGAAGTGGGTTTGAGCCGCTCATCGTCTGGTTTGACCCTGAGAGCCAGCTGTACACGACCCCTAGCCATGCCAAAAGGACCCGAATCATGAGCTACGCGACGAGCAAATGCAATTTGTTGTTCATTTTCCAGTTTGTCCACCCAAAGCATGCGTGGAGGTGTTTCTGCGAGGCCATCCCATCTGGCAGGATCAAGAAACCAAACCTGACCTTTGTGTTCTGAGCCGCTCGCTTTAATCAACTGCAGGGCCCTGTCTTTGCCTTTGACGCGAGCAAATCCTCGAACCAGGTTTTCAGCCTCGAGTTTTTGGAATCCCCACGTGTCACCAAGGTGAAGCAGAAGATCCCTAGCGTTTGGGCCTAAATCAGACAGCCACAAACGAAAAAAATTCCCAGGTCCCTGTGTGATATGATGGCGATTGTCACTGGCAATAAATCGCATGTCACAACTAATTCGAAAAACAAAAGACTCTTCATGGCCGTGTTTCTGGACAACAGGCCGCCTGGCGCCTGTCAGCACGGATCCTGGAACCAATGTGGGTGCATTTGGCGAGCACCGCGCAATCCAAACCAAGCGCTGGACCAATTTATCATCGGCATAACCAGCTGCACGTGTGTTCAAGGCTGTCCAACCATGATATCTCAATTTGCCAAGTTCTGGAGACATGTTAGGTGCAGCTTCAAGAACAACCGTGACATTGGTGCGACCAGCAGCATGAGAAATTTGGAGGGCTTCATTCCAATCATCCAGATTTTGTACTTGACACAGGAGAGCACCGGTGTCCCCACTGTCAAAAGCGTTGCACAGAGCTGTGGGGCCACGCAAAACAGTTTTGACGCCCCAGTCCTGGGCACGGGCTTTCCAGGATCTGTCGCGTTGCCATCGTGTTTTTGGCTTAGGAGCACCATCTACCAAATTTTCTGAACTTTTGAATCGTGTGCTTGGTTTCACTGGCGGGACCGCCTCATGCGGCGGCAGATCTTTCTTTCTCTTGTTTGGTCGCAACATACCACGTTCAGTAACTTGAACCAATGTTTTCAACCTTTGGAGCAACCCTTGTGGTTTCTTTGCGGCTCGGGCAGTTAGCTTTTGCAAGGCTTGAATCAGCCCATAGCTGCCATCATGGTTCGCATCTCTCTGTTTGGAAGGTAGGCTTTTACCACTACTTTTGCCGGAGCCCTTACCCTTGCCTTTTTTGTTTGAGGCTCCGGAGCTAGAGGCCTGCAAAGTATCTTTCAACAAAATCTGCAAACCTTGCAGCAGTTTCTGTTCCGGTGTCTCTGGACTGTTTCTACGACCTCCCCCGCGGAAGGAAGATCTGGGCCGGGAGGTTTGCGAATGCTCAGGCATGTTTTGACAGAATGGGCAAAACTGCGCACGTACGCAAAAGGACAGGAAACGGCCTACCCTATTAAACAAACTGACTCTTGGCTTTCGGATGCACTTACGATGCAATCGGCAGCGCTTTCGGCCAACTCTTCTGCACTTGAAGACTTTCTTTGGCCTTGCATTCAAATGGTGAAGTGACAGCATTATCCTGAAAACAGCTAATGTCACCAAATCGATGATGTCAACCCCTAAACCAATCAAAAGCAGATTCACAAAAGAAGGTTCAGTCAACAGCTTTCGGAAAAAGAAAGCGATGACCATGATCTTGCATGCCAGATGACAGAACCACAGCAGCGCTTTCTGTGCATTCCATGTGAGGAACCGATGCATTGAAAACAACATTCGCATGAGCATGATGCCAAGGAGTGCTATTCCACAACCTACTATTCTCTTCTTTCCGCACATCAGGACAAGGACCTTGTAGGCCCCGGCGAAAACGAAAGAGAGGCTGGTCGGATTGGACAAACAAGTATGCAAGCAAAATACGAGCGCGGCATTTCGCAAAAAGTGCTTCTGCATGTATGCAACAGAAGCATCATGTCTGGTTTGGAAACTCCAAATGACGGCTTGTCTGAAACATCGCACACAAATTAAACTGAGGCCTAAACAAACAAGATCGGCACCTGTGAATTGAAACTGCTGGCACCACTGTGACACTGCAGAGACAACCTCAGCAATCTGAGGCCTTTGCGTGACATGGCAAAGAGATCGGTTGCAGAAAACCAACCCAGAAATCATCATTGTAAAAACGCTCCCCCATGAAACAAGCTTGCATGTCCTAGTGGAGCAAAATTGCCAAAGGGTCACGAAATAATAAGACATCATCGCCACAGCTGACAGCAAACCATGATTCCAAGTTGGTTTGAAATCCGTGTCAACCATCTGCGCAACGCAATTCACCGGTATTTTGAATCCAGGAGTTGCCTGAAAACCATCCACGGTGTGTCCAGAAACACACGAAGCATGAGTCTGCAAAATCATGGCTTTGACGTGGAAGAATACAAAAGCAGCAAAGGAGCCCCAAAGGTCCCACAAATGCATCCAAGCAGTGGACCACATAGCCACGAAGCGCTGATAGAACTTGAAGCTCCACGGTGACTCAAGCCAGCAAAAACAAGCACAACCTGTTAAAATCACCATAATCTTCAAGAGAGGCCACCACACTTTTCTCCCACACACAGTTTTCCTCACCAAGTTCACGATGTGGAAAATCCGGCTCCAACTTTGCATCATCCATTCAATCTTACCGGCTTTACTGCACAAACGTCTTGAAACCGCAGCCATACCCATACACACACCAGAAAAGATTGCAAGGACGTCAAAATTCAAATTCAATGCAACGAATTGATACCTCACGAAGTAGCTAGCACAAAAAAAAGGGACAGTGAGTAAGATGCAATACACCCGGCATTGCACAAACCATTGTCCATCGTCATCTCTGTTCATCTCACCTCCGCAGCACAGGGCCAGCACCGCCAGCATGGCTTTGAACAAGCCCGCCATGGCTTTAAAAGTGCGCCCGAAATGCCTATTTGCTTGGCTACAAACCTGGGCGGCTTGAGCCAATCACCTTGAGCCAAAATGGCTTGAGCCAAAATGGCTACAGCAGGGGCAGTTAGGTGCAGGTTTTGATTGTCGAGTTGCTTCAGCTCCTTCAGTTTCTCTTCCTGATGCTGAGTAAGCTTTGACAGCCTCTGCAGACTCCTATCATAGCTGTCCAGAAACTCTGACTGGTCCACGTGAATCTCTGATCTAGCATGAGGATCCTGTGCCAAAGCTTGCTTCATGTTCAAATTCAACTCACCACTGAGAACTTGATCCCGCAGCTTTTGAGCGATCTCAATCTTGTCGGTCTTCACATTGAAAGCTATCGATGGGGTACCATGTGGCAGTCTTGTTTGATAGGGCAATTCTGCCTGAATCCCCTGGGGAATGGCACTCTGCAAGGCCTTTTTCAAAAAATCATGGCGACCGGTGTCGAGCAAATTGTGAATTGCTTCTGTTGCGTGACGAATGTGCCTCGACACAAAGATTTGTTGTGTCTCTTTGCACTGAACAATCCACTTTAATTCTGCCGACCTTGTCACTACATCATGGTCAAAACTTGGGACAGTCATCAACAGCACGCCTGTTCGCCACCTGTTGCCATGCTTGGCATCAACCGTGGAATGCACCGGGAACTCTTTCTCCAAAAACCTGGTTACGTCAATCTCCTCATAGTCCCACGCCGAGCCATGCTCAGCCCGCATGTGTTCTACATATGCGATCTCACATTTCTGGCTTCCGCCGCAGCCAACGCCATCCCATAAGTCTCTGTACTTGAGCTCTCGAAGCATTAATTTTCCTTGGCCCTTTTGGCCAGGAAAAAACACAACTCTGAGAGTCTGCTTCTTCTCAACGGCTTCGTGCACCTTCAAGGTGAGTGTGAGGCCATGAACAGTGATTGTCCTAAAACAGCCTGTTGTTCTTCCCCGCAATTGAAATGTGTTTTCTTATGAATGAAGAACCCTGCTGCAACAACCAGTCTTCGTAGCTGGTGTGCAACCCATACCCTGGGTATCCCTGGGTGCTGTTTTACGCTGTGTTGAAGAATGTTAAAGACCTCGTGGCGCCAAAGGTTTTGAACAATTACTTTACGGGTTTTGATGGAACAAGTTTCTGGAGTAGAAATGTAGAATCTAGAAGTGACAGTAAAAATGCCTTCTATCGTTGGCCAATTAAGGTACAAACTGTCTAGGTCAAAAGTGCCTTATTAACATTGTTTGACCTCCCTGAAAGGTTTCTGGCGAAAAACTCGATGGCGGTTTCTATCGACGCGGGTTGTGGGGGTCCGGAACTAAGGCCAGTCGATTTGGCGCAACGCAAGAAAAGGCTGCCCTAAGACCCTACGCATCATCTCTCTTTAGAATAAGAATATACCAGACAGGGTGCAAATTGGCCATCGGAACATGGTAGCGGGTTCTGACTGTGACCTCTGCTATTTTGCAGCGGCGAGAGGCTCAAGAGGTAGCTTTTTGCGCCATCTAGTTTTACCTGCTGGATACATGTCAACACAAGTGGTGCTATGTCACTTTGTGAAGCTGTCGTGATTGCACTAACCTTGCACCATGCTAATCTGAAAAGAGTAAACTGAAACGATGCAAAGGATGGCAAAGGTTTGGTTTCGTAGGCCAAGCATTAGTTCATGTAAATGCGTTCAACATAACTGACGAAGTGGTTTGCACAGTTGTGTATTGGGTGAGTCAGCCTGAAAGCTTAATTTGACTACACAATGTTAAACCATGTTATAGACACATATCATATCATATTTCAGATTGATACAGATTGAATGTATAGTCCAGCTCTGGATTTTGTGGAAGTTGTTCCAACAGCTGGATTTTACCGGCCAGCTCAGGACATGCAGAAACATTCGCAACACGCCGCAGTACACTATCACACCGCCCGTCGCGTTGGTGCTTTGCGATAACCCCAGCAACTGAACAGACGCTTTTGCGGCATTACAACGCTCTTGCACTAGATTGCACAATAGAACAGCTTGACAAACACAGCGATTTCATATGAAGATCACCTGTATACCGTATACCGTATACCATACAATATGATATCCCACGGCAAATCATAATTGAGGCGCAACATGTCTAGGAGAAGATACACATAGTGCAATGATGCGCCATCCGGATGCAAATCACAATGCATCACGCTCACATCAACATGTTTTTTTCAATGTGTTTGTTGGACCTAGCTTTCAACCTCAACATTCAAAGCTGAAGACACACGCACACACACAAGAAGATATGGAGAGAACGAGAGAGAGAGAAAGACAGAGAGAGAGAGAAAAAAAAAATAGCACTCCGACTCAAATAGTCGCACATGCTCATGTTTTGCCACTGGATTGCGCCTTCTCCTTCCAAACATGAAACCATTGACATCCCCACGCTGCCCTCTTGCCATTCATCTCCCAGTTCCTCTTCGCCTCTTGTCTACACCTCTCCTCCATCTCAGGTGTTGCATTTGCAGGAACAATGACAGCATTCGTCAGCTTCGCCTTTTCTTGTTCACGTTTCAACTTGTCGCTGTCAAGTTCTTTCATCTTCACCAAGTAACCGAAAGTCTGAAAGTCCCTCTCCCCGTAAATATCCTTGCAGTAGCAACTTCCATCTTTGAACGTATGGTGTTTGCCTAAGCCAGATTCTGGCGTGCTCAAGAAGACGCAGGCCACGCTATCACCATGCAGCTCAGCAACCAAAGCATCCCATCCCGCGGCAAATTTGCCTGGAAAGGAGATCCAGCAAGCAGAGGCTCCAGATCGAATCTTCCCTTCATATTTAATGTCGCTGGTGTCTTGGGTGTTGGCGTGTGCTCGCTCTTTCATGACGAAGTGCAAGGTGAATTTCTGCTTTTCATCCATGACTGAGTCCTCATTGCAAAAACTTAGCATGGAACGAACTGGCTTCGCCCACACTAAATAGGAAATCGCTGCACAAGAAAACCAAGCGGAAAAACACCACAGTCCTCCACAGCAGCAGGTCCAGAGCTAGGTGCACGATCTTTAATAAAATCGATGCCCGGGTCATGTCTATGTGGTTCTCTCAGAATTTGTTTCAACAGTTGAGCTGCTTCTTGTTCCTTATCCAAGTCTTGCAGAACAACTGCGAGCTCAGCCTTGGAGTTTATCGCCTTTGGATTGTCCTGCATGCGCGTTATTCATCATCTGTATGACAACTGTTCATCCTGATTGAAACAGCTTTGCTCAATGGGAATGGTGCCCAGTGCTCACAATTCAAGTTCAACAGCTTGACTCTCGAGCTCATCCGCTGATCAGTTCGTATGCGATCGGGTCCTCCCCGAGCTTCTGTGAGTGCATTTTCGAGACTTCCTTCAACTTTGTCTCCTGCTCAAGTTTTGGCGAAAAAACAAAGGTTCGGACTCAAAATATGAAGTCACTCGCTCATCTCTCCAATTGCGACTCAAAGAAAATCAATCCTACGACATCCTACAACCAATGAAGATGTGCTTTGGAAACCCTGATGCTTTTTGGAAGGATCGTCTTGAACTTGTTCGGCCCTGATGCTTTGTTGCCCAATGTGAAGAAAAGATACAGAATTTGTGTGTTTGGTGCCAGCGTGGATAAGTTCTTCGTTTGGAAATGTTTGGACGCTTTGAAGATGAGACGTCTCTTGACAAAAACATATATATAATACAGTGATTCACAATGTATCATTATGCACATGTTTTGTAAGTACCAGCGCCAGAAGATTCTAAACTCTTAAACCCAATCCCAACTCACGTATCTTCAAACAAATCCTCAAGCTGAGATTTCAGAGTTTGGCTGGAGCGGGCTTTACGGTTGGACACTTGACCAAATGTCTTTCGATGCAAAATTTGCAAGATTATTACAATATTGGTATGTGCTATTGACATTTTACATCTAGCAGACAAATGTTGATCAAAAATGATCAAACATGATCAAACTGTATATCAGGCAAGGATCCTTGTCGTTGTGAAGGCAGCCGAGTAAACTCGCAAAGTGGTCGACAGCCCTGTGCATAATTGGGTCGTCCTGGCGTCAAGGAAACTCTGGTTTTCGACAACTGAAAGCATCTAGCAAAGGGCTACGGCTACGGGTTCAATCTTTGGGGTTTTGGGAAGTAGGGCTGGCACGCGCAGGTTTTTCACACCAACCACAAAGTTCATCCTTCAGATTGGTAGACGGAGCTTGGCCAAGACCTTCAAACACTTCCTCCAGCTGTTGCTGTGCTGCGGTGAAATCTTTTTGCTGCTGCAGAACAGCCGCCAGATCGATCTTGGTGCTGAGGGTATCTCTATCCTCCTACGCACAGGTCAAGAAACGGATCTGACAGATAAAGTGCGTTTGACCTGCCGAGAGTTCTTTCCCCAAACAATGCTAATTATTTAAAGATGTCATTCATCGTATTTTTGAAAACTCATGTCCTTGCCAAATCGTTGCTCTTGGATCTCCAGGACTTGCTTCAACTTGTTGCTCTCCCAAAGTGCCTGGTTTGGGGTTTTGTGCAGCCGGCTCTCTTGCATGACAAGTAGTCCCAATGCCTTGCTTTCTGCAAGGCTTTGCGGAGATTTTCCTGCCTTGATCTCGAAAACAAATTTGTTCCACTCTTCTCTGGCCTCCAGTTCGGTGTTGAGATATGTCCAAGATTTCCCAAGCATTTAGTATGAAGCTGAGACAAAATGAGATTTTCTACCCCGAAAGCTCAAGTGATCTCAAGTGACCTTTGTGGGCCAGTTCAACATTCCTACCACAAGAGCTCAACGGGAAAGGATGGGAACGGACAGGAAGAAGAAATTACATAAGACCAAGGATCAGAGAGGGTGACGGACACATGAAAAAAATCGAGCCCGCACTCTGTTGAATGCCGTTGACTGCCTCAGCTGTGCGGCTACTTTGTTGAAGGAAGTTTAGAAGAAAAGTTTGCGACTTACCCACAATCCCAAACCAGGGAACTCACACGAAAAAAAACAACAACGTTCAGAAGAAGTCAGAGTACGTACCTGCTACAGCTAAATTGCCGCCGTCATCGGGGTAGGTATGGAATCCATGTTCAGTGTCCCTTACACGAAAAACCTTTTTTTGCGCCTTGCGAAATTCCCAGGACACCAGTTGGCGTGTCTAAACACCTGGTCCATCATGTAGGAAGTAGTTTTATCAACGAATACCTGAAGATCCTGAAGCCTGATGAAAATCAAAAATCTTGGAACGCTCCACAGCGTGTCTTCGGGGAAAATGGATGAAAATGGTCGATCCTCTTATTCACATCTCAAACTTACTTTCAGGCTGTTGCTTTGCGCCTGAATAATTGCTTGCTCCTGGAACCAAAGAGGTGCATTGTGGCGCCAAAGCTGGCTATTGAGTTGTTCCCTTTGAAGTTTGTCATTTTTTTCCGCATGAAGATGTTTTCTGGAAAAACAGAGATGAACATGCAAAAAGCAAGATCTCAAGCCTCTCATGGCGGGAAATATGGCATTCTGTTTTAAAAGTTGAGGATTGATGTTTACCGACCCACATCTTGCGCCGTCAAGACAATCTAGAAAACTTACCCAACAATTGAATCCTTCCGCCTCGTCTTTGAGTTTCTCTTCCTGGTCTGCCATCACCTTATACACATGTACCCAGCTGACCTGTGCAAGTTATCTGAATCCAAGAAACCTACTGAGCGTCCTAGACCAGGACATGGCCCCTCATCCGTACATCAAGTTTCATGTTGTAACTACGCAGACCCCTTTGCAAAATGAAGTCGTTGTTTACCACTCGGGAAACGGCACTCTGCAGAACTGCCACTGCTTCGTTTGATTGGCAAGCCAATGTCATGGGCGTTAAACCTCACAGGCGATGCGTCAAAACGATGAATCCCTACGACCTTCTCGACCTCAAATCATGAATGATATTGGGCATGATCAGCACAGCACATACAGTAGCACTTTGAAAATGCTATCGACCACATTCATGTACTTTGATATACTTCATGTAAACTTCATGTATCGCTATGCCCTGTTGGTAGAGAACTCTGAGGGTCCAGGCCAGTTACATCTTTGGCCATGAGCGATGCCCTAGCCTCAAGTAGGATCCGCATTATGTTGCTTGGTCCGGAGACCTCGTTGGCGGCCAAGTGTAGGGCTGTCCGGCCTTGGCATACACTGACAGACAACATCCAGGACCCCAAGCAGACATTGCCGCCATGGTGAGCACATGGCAACTCGGTACGCTCCAAAGATTCGGGCTGCTTCTGTCAGTGGCATCCACGGACGCGCGATTCTGCAGGAGCTGCTGAAGACAGTTTTCGTCACCCTTGAGGATGGCATTCTGTAGTTCGGTCCAGCAAGAATAAACATCATTCAAAATAAAAAGGAATGGCACAATATAGAGATTGGGTGCACATCTACTTGCACATCTCATGGCAAGACTCGACCAAATTCAATGGCAATTGCAAAAAACATAACAAGTCAAATTTTGCCAGTCAAGGAGCGGCGCTCTGCAGAACAGCCACCGCTTCCTTGCATTTCGAATCGCAAGCCAAATTCAAGGGAGTGAAACCTTAGCGGCAAGTTTGACATCAAACGCCAGAACTGCGCGAGTTTACAGGAGACCTCAAACCTTTCCAAATCAATATGACAAGGCTGTGTCTATATACGTAATTACTGAAATTGAAAGCTCTCAGACTGAATCTACTCTCCAATGGGAATTCAGTTGGATCCGAGGGCTCAGATCATACACATTCACATATTCAATGTGAAGAGCTCTGAGGCTCCGGGCCGCTGAGGTCTTCAGCCTCAGTCCTGGCTCTGGCCTCCAGCAGTAGTTCGATGATTTTGACCGGTTCCGAGAGCTCACTGGCGGCCAAGTGTAGTGGTGTCCGGCCTCAGCGCTGCCGGAAAGCCTAAGAAAATAACACAAAAAGGTGCTGATGTGCCCTTCTCAACTGTCACTGGATTGGATCATGGAAGCTTTGAATTTCACTTCTCAAGAACAACACCTTGCAATTCTGTTCGCTCTAAGTTTCGGACCACTTCTATCCGTGGCATCAACAAACGCGTGATTTTTCAGGAGCTGCTGGACGTAGTCTTTGTCACCGCTGCACACGGCATTGTGCAGCTCCGTCCGGCCTAGGTGACAAAGGTGACAAAGGTGACAAAGGTGACAAAGGTGACAAAGGTGACAAAGGTGACAAAGGTGACAAAGGTGACAAAGGTGACAAAGGTGACAAACGTTCATACACATTGCTTCAAATCAAATTGAACTATGCCATGTTGTCAGGGTACAAAAGACATGTGTCGTGATATCTTCAGGGAACTCCATGAGTTTTCATGTTTTTTTCAGATTCGATTTGACATGAGCTGTACCAGGAAGAAGCAGCAACCGCTGAGCTTGACAGATGGAGACGGGAGAAGTGGTAATCATTACTACACTGTGACCCGGACAAACACATCCAGCTATTCGCCTCAACTTTGAGCCCGCTGCCCAACCTGTTCTTCTTCTCGACAGCTTTGCCCTCATCTGTGGTGTCTTGGCCTTGGCATGACCAAGGCAGAGTGGCTCCCAAAGGATTCCTGAGAGGATTCCATGCGCATCTGGCGTAAAACAAATGCTAAGCGCCAAGCTCTAAGAGGATGCTGTGGCGGCCTGGTCGACAGGAAGGTGCATTCGAAAAAGGTTCACAGCCAGCGCATGGAAATATTCAAAATGGAATGGAGGTCATATTCAAGCATGAAAAAGATATAAAAGATCCTATTTGGTCAAAGTTTCTTTGCATGCCATGTTTGCTAGACATGAACAGGACATCAAAAACAATATTTGTTTGGACAGATATGGTGGTGCCTGTTGACATAGCATCTGTGGTTGCTTGTTGATGCATTCCTGTGGAGGTTTATCGTGAAGAAAAGCAAACAGGAATGCCATCCTACCGGTTGCGTGGTTGTCAAACCAATCAAGGGGCCCAGGATGGCAATCATATCTGCCTCAATTATCCTCAGCCGTTAGATCGGCCTCCGGCCGTTCCTTTAAAGTCCTCCGGGCTTCTAGGTCATCAAGCACAGCCCGAACTAGCTCCTGCAGGGACAACATACATGAACCAGTCGAAAACAATGAACCAACACTGTCAACACTGATTTGACAGGTGATGGAACTGAAGGAAACTTTGAAATTATGGATGCTGTTTCAAGGCATTTCAAGTCCATGTTTGGAATTCTTATGAAAGGTACAATAAGTGTCGACTTGTCCCATATTCACCGACTACACATGCGCAATGGCACGAAAAGTCAAAAACGCTGCTAACCCGGCCTATGAACCGGAATTTGTGTTTCACGAGAACACAATTGTACAACATGCGAATCTGCATTCGGCCCACCTCAGCTTTTGCGTTTGCAAGTGTATACGCTGCAAATTCTTCCAGCAGTCTTTTGACCTCGTCCTGCGCAGTATGGAATGTACTTGACGGCCACCCTGCTCTGACACCGTGATGGATGTAGATTGCTCGCTTTTCGATGAAGGGGCTGGCAATGAAGAGTCTGGCAAAGATATCAAAACCGAAACATGGATAGAAATGGATAGAAATGGCACATAAAGGGCTTTCAGGTCAAACCCTGCTCCTTTGAGAATCATGGGTCTGCACCGTCCAAAAACGCAACCATGTCGTGCCATGCCATTGCATGTTGGGTCCTGTTCCCGACTTGCATCTGAAAGCTGGCTTTCGACAGTTTTCAGCTTCTCCTTCGGGAAACTGTGAGCCATGGTGGGTGAGGGATTCACTGAGTTTACAGCAAAAAGGCACAAAAGGTACAGTACCCGGTGAAGGTCCACATGGTCCAAGCCAAGTTCAATTATTAATGCATGCAGGGTGCATCCAAGCAAAGACCCCACAAATATGCAGTTGTGTGCTGACAAATGAAGGGTAGCACAATTGTTGTCATGCCAATGATGCAATCCAGGGAGTCACAGAAAACGGGACTGGAATATGAGACTGAACTCGCCATCTTTGACTTTTGTTTCTATATTATACCATATCCGCCGACCCCGGCAGACGCAAGGGGGAGCGCGCCAGGGAATAATACTTTTGACTCTTGTTTCGGACTACTACCCAGCAGCAGCAGCAGCAGCAGCAGCAGTAGCATCAGCAGACGCCAGCATCACCAGCAGCAGCAGCAGCAGCAGGAGCAACAGGAGGGTTCTATGTCTCATTGCACAAACAGTGGTATAAAAATTGTTTCGGACTACTACCGCAGCAGGCGCAGCAGCAGCAGCAGGAGAAGTAAAGCAAAGACAAGCAAGTTTAGCCGCACCAGCAGCAGGAGCAGCAGCAGCAGCAGCTAGCAGCCAGCTAGGAGCAGCCAGCAGCTCTTAAAAAGGTGGCAGCAGCAGCAGCAGCAGCAGCCAGCAGCTCGTTACGTTAGGCATTTTCGGGGTGCAATTTTGGGGCTTCTCCGCCCGTCACTGCCATGGTGTTTTCCCATCCGGGGACCAGCAGCAGCAGCAGCAAAAGCCTCTGCTGCAGCAGGAGGAAAAGGTAGCCAAAATTCATAGCAGCAGCAAGAAGAAAAAGCAGCCAAAATCATCATTTTCTATGGGTTTCAGAAGTTACGTTAGGCATTTTCGGGGTGCAATTTTGGGGCTTCTCCGTCCTTCACTGCCATGGTGTTTTCCCACCCGGGGGACAGCAGCAGCACCAGCAAAAGCCTCTGCAGCAGCAGGAGGAAAAGGCAGCCAAACTTCATATTCATAGCAAGAGCAAGAAGAAAAAGCAGCCAAAATCATCATTTTCTATGGGTTTCAGAAGTTACGTTAGGCATTTTCGGGGTGCAATTTTGGGGCTTCTCCGTCCTTCACTGCCATGGTGTTTTCCCATCCGGGGACCAGCAGCAGCAGCAGCAAAAGCCTCTGCAGCAGCAGGAGGAAAGGGTAGCCAAGATTCATAGCAGCAGCAAGAGGAAAAAGCAGCCAAAATGCAGCCGCAGCAGTAAGAGCAGCGGCAGCAGCTAGCAGCAAGCTAGGAGCAGCCAGCAGGAGCAGCGGCAGCAGCTAGCAGCCAGCTAGGAGCAGTCAGCAGCTCTTAAAAAGGTGGCAGCAGCAGCAGCAGCAGCAGCAGCAGCCAGCAGCTGCCAGCAGCTTGTTACGTTAGGCATTTTCGGGGTGCAATTTTGGGGCTTCTCCGTGCGTCACTGCCATGGTGTTTTCCCATCTGGGGACCAGCAGCAGCAGCAGCAGCAAAAGCCTCTGCTGCAGCAGGAGGAAAAGGTAGCCAAAATTCATAGCAGCAGCAAGAGGAAAAAGTAGCCAAAATCATCATTTTCTGTGGGTTTCAGAAGTTACGTTAGGCATTTTCGGGGTGCAATTTTGGGGCTTCTCCGTCCTTCACTGCCATGGTGTTTTCCCATCGGGGGATCAGCAGCAGCAGCAGCAAAAGCCTCTGCAGCAGCAGGAGGAAAAGGCAGCCAAACTTCATATTCATAGCAGCAGCAAGTGGAAAAAGCAGCCAAAATCATCATTTTCTATGGGTTTCAGAAGTTACGTTAGGCATTTTCGGGGTGCAATTTTGGGGCTTCTCCGTCCTTCACTGCCATGGTGTTTTCCCATCCGGGGACCAGCAGCAGCAGCAGCAAAAGCCTCTGCAGCAGCAGGAGGAAAAGGTAGCCAAAATTCATAGCAGCAGCAAGAGGAAAAAGGTGCCAAAATCATCATTTTCTATGGGTTGCAGAAGTTACGTTAGGCATTTTCGGGGTGCAATTTTGGGGCTTCTCCGTCCTTCACTGCCATGGTGTTTTCCCATCCGGGGACCAGCAGCAGCAGCAGCAGCAAAAGCCTCTGCAGCAGCAGGAGGAAAAGGTAGCCAAAATCATCATTTTCTATGGGTTTCAGAAGTTACGTTAGGCATTTTCGGGGTGCAATTTTGGGGGTTTCTCCGTCCTTCACTGCCATGGTGTTTTCCCATCCAGCACCAGCAAAAGCCTCTGCAGCAGCAGGAGGAAAAGGCAGCCAAACTTCATATTCATAGCAAGAGCAAGAAGAAAAAGCAGCCAAAATCATCATTTTCTATGGGTTTCAGAAGTTACGTTAGGCATTTTCGGGGTGCAATTTTGGGGCTTCTCCGTCCTTCACTGACATGGTGTTTTCCCATCCGGGGACCAGCAGCAGCAGCAGCAAAAGCCTCTGCAGCAGCAAGAGGAAAAAGCAGCCAAAATGCAGCCGCAGCAGTAAGAGCAGCGGCAGCAGCTAGCAGCAAGCTAGGAGCAGCCAGCAGGAGCAGCGGCAGCAGCTAGCAGCCAGCTAGGAGCAGTCAGCAGCTCTTAAAAAGGTGGCAGCAGCAGCAGCAGCAGCAGCTGCCAGCAGCTTGTTACGTTAGGCATTTTCGGGGTGCAATTTTGGGGCTTCTCCGTGCGTCACTGCCATGGTGTTTTCCCATCTGGGGACCAGCAGCAGCAGCAGCAGCAAAAGCCTCTGCTGCAGCAGGAGGAAAAGGTAGCCAAAATTCATAGCAGCAGCAAGAGGAAAAAGGAGCCAAAAGCATCATTTTCTATGGGTTTCAGAAGTTACGTTAGGCATTTTCGGGGTGCAATTTTGCGGCTTCTCCGTCCTTCAGAGGCATGGTGTTTTCCCCCATCCGGGGACAGCAGCAAGCAGCAGCAGCAAAAGCCTCTGCAGCAGCAGGAGGAAACGGCAGCCAAACTTCTATTCTAGCAGCACAAGTGAAAGCAGCCAAAAATCATCCATTTTCTTAGGGGTTTCAGAAGTTTTACGGTTAGGCATTTTTCGGGTGCAATTTTGGGGCTTCTCCGTCCTCTTCACTCCGCATGGTGTTTTCCCTCCGGGACCAGCAGCAGCAAGCAAGGCAGCAAAATCCTCTGCTGCAGCAAGGAGGGAAAAGGTCCAAAATTCATAGCAGCAGCAAGAGGAAAAAGTAGCCAAAATCATCATTTTCTATGGGTTTCAGAAGTTACGTTAGGCATTTTCGGGGTGCAATTTTGGGGCTTCTCCGTCCTTCACTGCCATGGTGTTTTCCCATCCGGGGACCAGCAGCAGCAGCAGCAAAAGCTTCTGCAGCAGCAGGAGGAAATGAAAAGGTAGCCAAAATCATCATTTTCTATTGGGTTTCAGAAGTTATGTTAGGCATTTTCGGGGTGTTTTGGGGCTTCTCCGTCCTTCACTGCCATGGTGTTTTCCCATCCGGGGACCAGCAGCAGCAGCAGCAAAAGCCTCTGCAGCAGCAGGAGGAAAAGGTAGCCAAAATCATCATTTTCTATGGGTTTCAGAAGTTACGTTAGGAATTTTCGGGGTGCAATTTTGGAGCTTCTCTGTCCTTCACTGCGATGGTGTTTTCCCATCCGGGGACCAGCAGCAGCAGCAAAAGCCTCTGCAGCAGTAGGAGGAAAAGGTAGCCAAAATTCATAGCAGCAGCAAGAGGAAAAAGGTGCCAAAATCATCATTTTCTATGGGTTTCAGAAGTTACGTTAGGCATTTTCGGGGTGCAAATTTCGGGTTTCTCCGTCCTTCACTGCCATGGTGTTTTCCCATCCGGGGACCAGCAGCAGCAGCAGCAAAAGCTTCTGCAGCAGCAGGAGGACAAGGTAGCCAAAATTCATAGCAGCAGCAAGAGGAAAAAGGTGCCAAAATCATCATTTTCTATGGGTTGCAGAAGTTACGTTAGGCATTTTCGGGGTGCAATTTTGGGGCTTCTCCATCCTTCACTGCCATGATGTTTTCCCACCCGAGGACCAGCAGCAGCAGCAGCAAAAACCTCTGCAGCAGGAGGAAAGGGTAGCCAAAATTCATAGCAGCAGCAAGAGGAAAAAGCGGCCAAAATCATCATTTCCTATGGGTTTCAGAAGTTACGTTAGGCATTTTCGGGGTGCAATTTTGAGGCTTCTCCGTCCTTCACTGCCATGGTGTTTTCCCATCCGGGGAACAGCAGCAGCAGCAGCAGCAAAAGCTTCTGCAGCAGCAGGAGGAAAAGGTAGCCAAAATTCATAGCAGCAGCAAGAGGAAAAAGCGGCCTGCCATGGCGTTTTCCCATCCGGGGGCCAGCAAAAGCCTCTGCAGCAGCACGAGGAAAAGGTAGCCAAAATTCATAGCAGCAGCAAGAGGAAAAAGTAGCTAAAATCATCATTTTCTGTGGGTTTCAGAAGTTACGTTAGGCATTTTCGGGGTGTTTTGGGGCTTCTCCGTCCTTCACTGCCATGGTGTTTTCCCATCCGGGGACCAGCAGCAGCAGCAGCAAAAAGCCTCTGCAGCAGCAGGAGGAAAAGGTAGCCAAAATTCATCGCAACAGCAAAAAGAAAAAGCAGCCAAAATCATCATTTTCTATGGGTTTCAGAAGTTGCGTTAGGCATTTTTGGGGTGCAATTTTGGGGCTTCTTCGTCCTTCACTGCTATAGGATTTTTTTTCCATCCGGGGGCTGTCTTTTGAACAGCAGCAGCAGCAGCAGGAGGAAATAGTAGCGAAAATCACGTGCTTCTACTATACTCCGTTTGAACAGAAGGAGCAGCAGGAGAAAAAGCAGCAGCAGAAGGAAGAAAGTGGCTCAAATCATCGTTTTCTATGGGTTTCAAACGGGGACCAGCAGCAGCAAAAGCCAAAATTCATAGCAGCAGCAAGAGGAAAAAGCAGCCCAAATCATTTTTTTCCATAGGTTTCAGAAATTACATTGGGCATTTGGGGGTGCAATGTTGGGGCTTCTCCGTCCTTCACTGCCATGGTGTTTTCCCATCCGGGGACCAGCAGCAGCACCAGCAGCAAAAGC